ATTTATAATACCATAACTAAATATCCTGACTAAATATCCCAGGATATCCTTAACATATTCAGGATCATCTCGAGGATGTCTTGTGCTGTCTGGTTATCGTTATTTTGAACATGTAGACTTATATGCAATATGTATAAGGTATAACATCAACATGCCTAGGTCTTCAGTACGACGGGTTGTCTACCCCCATTCGGACGATGGTGCAGAGGTTGCCGAAAAAGTCACTCATTGACCTTGTTCATAATGATATTTGCACTGCTCTCGGTTAAAAGTGCAACTATTTGTGCACCATTTAACAGGAGCCGAGCCTCATTGAATTAAAAAAAAAATATTTAAAAAAGTGAAATTGGAAAATAAACTGGGAAAATGTGAATATAATGAATTAGGAAATTATGGATTTCAGCAGAATAAATAAGATAATAGTGTTACGTCCTGGAGGAGGAACGCAACTTGGCGCTTGTTTTCGCAAGCTTCGACGTACTCGCAAATCTGCGGAATAGATCAAGGATCGGAATGACCCCTTTATCTGGCGCAGACGTACGTCGGTGGTCCTTTATTTAGGTCAAGGAACTGAATCCTTTTACCTGGGATAGGACCGTGAGCGACAGTTGAGGGAAGGGAGAATTTTTGGTTGAGAATAATTATTTGGAAAACGTGATTGGTTTACAATTACAAACAACTTGTTTTATTAGTGATTAGACGGAAGTTCACAATGAAATAAAATTTGTAAGATTTTATAGTGTGTCTATATACATATGTGGTTAACAATCGCGCTCAGAACAATGATTCTCGATTACTCAGAACAATATTCCGTGTTCGTTATGTCCGACTGTGATCGAAAGGACTGGGCCACTGACGTCTGATTTAACAATTAAGGAGGAATGCCAAGGAGGATAGAAAACGGAAGTAAAACGAAAGGAAAAGAAAAGGGAGAGAAGAAAAGATAAAAAAAATGAAACGAAAAAGGTCACTCAGGTAAAAGAAAATATAAGTAACTTACTGCTGGACTTCTCTGATCTTAGTAGACAATGAAAGGTGTGGTTGCTGCGTCTCTGTGAGGATGGACCCAAGTTGCGCCAAGGACTAGAAACTGGTCTCAGCAGGATCTCTCGCAATGTCTCAAGGGTGCATGAGATCGTTGCACAGAAGAATAGATGACTGAAGAACACTGATCTGACTCACTAGTAGGGTTGGTTATCAAGAAACCCTGAAGGGGTGTTGGAGAGAAGGCTCTGTCCTGGCTGCGGGTCGGTCGGGAGGAGAAATAGAAGTGGCATAGCTTTTTTACTTTACCAAAAACGTCACTTCGGTCGAGAGGTGGAGTTTGGGAAGTTGCGTCAGGCTCCAAAGTTTATGTCCAAATATGGGTATAGGATTTTGTTGCAAACTTTTCGGAAGTGGGGTTTTAGTAAGGTTCTTAGATAAATATGATAAAGGATCGGGTATCTATGGCAGTAAAAGATTTCAAGGTTTCGCTAGGGTTAGTCAGAGGTTGTGCGCGATAGGAATTTATGAATAACGTGGGAAACGCGTGAGTTTCCGAAGATCAAAGGCTGGCAACATCATATAACAGCATGAAAGATTGTCTGGTCGGTCCGTCTTCAAAGAAAATTATTGCTCCGAACGGGAAGTTATTTAAGGTTATTTGGAGAGGAGGTATATGGCCAAAATGACTCAACGGATTTTTTCCGGAAATAGAGGAAACTCTGGTAATTAACGCAGAGAGAAAAGAAAGAGAAATCTGTGTGTGTGACGTCACAGTTCTCGGAGGGTCGCGGAATGTGAACATTTGGTAGTATAATATAAAATGCAATCCGCCCTACTTGACAACAAATTCAAAGTACGCGGAGTCCGCAGGACGTAACAATAGTTAAGAGGGTACATAATATAACATATTTTCTTGTTTCTCTTAATTTCTTAATTTATTCCTTGTGTCAGAAAGTTCAAAAGGAGTTAGAGAGAGAAAGGAAGATTAGAAAGGACGGTACAGAAATATTAGAAGTTTTTTATATTGTATTCCATCGTTTCTGCAAAAGATCGCTTCTACAAAAATATAAATCGATTGGAAGCACGACATAAATTATTGGCTACAACTTAGTCGATGACGACTATTGAATGATATATTTTCGGTACATAATTTCATATTTTGACGTCTCTTTTATCGAAAATGTCTCATTTTCGAAATTTTTGCAGTTTATAAGCAAATTAAAAAACTTATAAGCTTCTTCAATATAAAGAATGTAGAATACGAACTTTCTACAACATATGTTACAGTTTCATATTTTGTGCTATAAATAATTGGTCACAACTATCTTTTATGTCCAACAGCAGTATTTTCATAACTTCATGTGCTAATATTCTCATTTGGAGTAAATTGGTTTGGAGTGAATCTTCGGTTTAAGAAAGTATAGAGAATTCGTATTCTGAATTCTTCGAAAAAATTCATAAATCTTTTGATTTGTTTATAAGCTGCAAAAATTTCAAGAAAGAGAAGAGAAACTATTTGCGATAAAAATGACATTAAAATACAAGACTATATACCGAAAATATATTACTCAATAATTATCATCGATTAAGTTGCAGTCAATAATTTATATTTGCACTTCCGGTCGATTCATGCTTTGCTAAAAGCGATTTTTTGCAGAAACAATGGACTATAATATATAAGACTTCTAAATATTTCTCTACCGTTCTTTCTAATCTTCCTTCCTTTCTCTAATTTCTCTCGAACTTTCCGACACAAGAAATAAATGAAGAAATTAAGAGAAAATATGTTGTATCATTTACCCTCTTAACTATTATTCTTATTTACTCTACTTAAATCCATAATGTTTATTTCTCAATTTCATTTTTTCAAATATTTTTTTTAATTCAATGAGGCTTGGCTCCTGTTAAACGATCACGGTACAAGTTGCATTCGTCATAACCAGAAACAGTGTAAATATCATTGCCAACAAGGTCAACGAGTGACTTTTCGGCAACTTCTGCATTATTGTTCGAATGAGGGTAGGCAACCCGTCGTATTGATCTGTATATTGATATTATACCCTGTATATAAAAAGATTTCAAAACATGATACAAAAAGTAACAAAAATTTTAATGTTCCATTGCTTTTCGCATAACGATAACGTTGATGATTAATTTTTTTCCAATGAGTAACGAATAACAGCAATGAATTATTTTTATTAATAGATAACAAATGATAACAAGTAAATTATCTTTAAAAAGTAACACGTTACTTCTAAAAAAAATATAATTTTCCTAACCTCATACACACTCACACACACCTATATAGGGTCTGTACACAGGATACTTGGTAACTCATGTAGCCATAGTTAATGGAGGCGTAGAGCTGATTGAGATAAAGAATAAAGTCAGATACCGTTTTGCGATATTCGTTATAATTATCGAGTTATTAATTATTAATTATATAGAAGTCTGACGAATAAGGGCGTACCGAGATTGTATCGGAGCATTACAGCTGCTAGGCTATAGCGCAGCCTAGTCGATCGAATAACTGTTGCGTAGCGAGACGTAAGAGTGGCGAGATAATACGAGGTATGGCTATAAAATAACGGGACTATTGCTGCAAAACATTTTATTTTGAATTTATACATTTTTTAGTTATTATCACCTTCAATATATACCCCTCCTCTATCCTTACAACGCTCCATGCGAATTTTCCATTGTTCGAAACAATACTGGAAGTCTTCTTCTGTGAGCTCCTTCATGACGCGTGCCGCTTTTTCTTTCACAGCTTCAACGGACTGAAATCTTGTTCCTTTTAATGCAGATTTGACCTTGGGAAATAGATAAAAGTCACATGGTGCAAGGTTCTGGCGAATAAGGCGGATGGTCTAACACTGGGATGTACTTGGCTAGAAACGTCTTGACAGACAATGCAGAATGAGCCGGCGCGTTGTTTTGATGGAGAACTCATGACTTGTTCTTTATGTAAAATTTGCCTTACGCATTCTTTGTCAATTCCTATAGTTTCAGCAATCGCACGAATAGTTAATCGACGGTCAGGTCGAGTCAGATTACCGACTTTGTCAATATTTTCATCCGTTTTTGACGTGGAAGGGCGTGAATCATCTTCAACGTCTTCTCGGTCATCTTGAAAACGCTTAAACCACTCAAAAACTCGCGCACGTGATAAACATTCATTGCCATACACTTCTTTTAATAAAAGATAAGTTTCAGTAGCGCTTTTTCCAAGTTTCGTGTGAAATTTCACGACGATTCATTGCTCTATTTTTATTTATCATTTTTCCGGCAAAACAAAACAACAGCTCTTATATAAACGAAGGCCACGGCCAGACTAATTTGTTTACAGACACGGGAGGCGCCGCATTCGAAAGAGAAGGCTTCACGTTACACAGCTGTCGGTCGTTCGCGTTTGGCGCATGCGTACTTCTTCTGTGGAAGCATCAGTCTCGTTATTTTATAGCCACACCTCGTATACGAATAGCGGCACGTTGTCTTTTCGCGTGCCTATCGGCTATTATCATAGTTGCTCGATAGACTGGGCCACATTATGACCTGAGCAGTTATAATGCTTCTCCATCTCAGCGCGCGCTTATTCGTCAGATTTCTGTAATTAATAATTCGATAGTTATTGCAGATATCGCAAATCGATATTTGACTTTTTTCCTTATCTCAATCAGCCCTACGCCCCAATTAGTTATGTCTATATGAGTTGCCAAACACTCTTGTATGTACAACCAGACATATACGAAAGCAATTCTGACTTAATTACTTTTTGACTTTTCATTGTCAATGTCTTGCAACATCGTCATGTCTCGCGAAACACATTTCATAAAATGCGATTGTGGATTATCGTTAAATCCGGGAACGGAAAATCTCAGCATTCGCGCGCGATGGGTATACCTATTCGATTAGAATGAAGAATCTCATCCCTTCGTCTTGTCGTACACTGATTCACGCTGCATGAGTGCATTCAGCGGCGAAACGACTTTAGACAATCTTGGGAATTGCAGGACCTCCTCGTGACACTATCGACTTTGCTGCGGGGCAGCATTTACGAGAAATTGAGATGGACTTTCAAGCTGTACGATATAAATGGCGATGGCTGCATCACCAGGAGCGAGCTAGGTGAAGTAGTGATGGCAGTGCACGAGCTTATGGGTAGGCGGCATCACGCTGAGGAAGAGAGGAAAGCGAGGGAACAGCTGGATAGGGTCTTCAAGAAACTGGATCTCAACCAGGATGGTGTTATCACAATTGAAGAGTTTATCGAAAGTTGTTTGAAGGTAAGTTTCTCCACCGTGAAACAATTACAACAATCGAGAATAGAAAGTATACGGGCAGTGTCTCTGCCGCTACTCATAGACATATTTGTTTCTCTTTGTGGATCGACTTTTCGTAGAGAATAATAGAATTGCAAATATCGATAGTTTTTAAATTGTATATATATATATATATATATATATAATATAACCTTTGATAAGCAAAGGTCAGCTCTTCGGTTTGCAATTAATTGAAGAATAAATAGAATATATGGATATAAATATATATATAAATAGAAAATATGGTATATAAATGTAGAAAACACTCTGTAGATTTTATTTCCTCGATAGATAAATGCTATATTTCTCAAGACGTATACGAAATGTGCCAGAGAACTGCCGGGGTCTGTCTTTCCTTAAACTATAGTTTCCTTAAACTATAGTTTCCTTAATTAATATTCAAATGATCTTTTTTCCGCAAAAATTAAGTTCACAATTTTCTATGTTAAGCATCTAAATTATTAATTAACTATCAGACTATATTTTCATTATAGATTCTTTTATATATAATTAAGAGACATGAACTCATTTATTTGCCGTCCTGAAGATCAATTTGATGAGATCTACATTCACAATGTTTTGAATTATTTATATAATAAGGTCACCCGTTAAAAAATTTGTTTGTATTAATTTATTAAAAAGTTTGTTTGAACTTTCTTATATAATTACGTCTATTTTATAATTGACAAGTGACCGAAGAAGAATTGCAACGTCTGAACTTTCGTAACGGTTTTGATTATATGGGAAACAATATTTTATTTGATATGTTGTTACATTACAAAACCCACACATAAGTTTTAATTGACTCTTTTATATTTCGAATATTTTGGAATATTCGTAATAACGCAATATCATATTTTCATTATGGAAACACACACTTCAACTTTTGTAAAACAAAAAAGTGAATTCACAATGCATATACGTAGATTGCTGCAAAAGTTTCGGGAATGTGGAACTTCTAATGTTGCCAAATTACTGACAACACTATTTTCATAAAATTTGATAATTTTCATGTTAGAGGGTATTGACTGAACAAAGAAATGCCAATTGGTTTCGTTTTTATAGCAAAGTTGATAAAAAGTGGAAAAAATTATTTAAATCGAGAATATTTCCGTGCGATAATTTTCTACTATTTTCGAAGTAATTTAACTCAACAATAGTGTACGGAACAACTTGTGGCGAGTTTTGGTGATGAAATACTATTAAAAATAATAATTTATCGCTAATTTCAAGAGTTAAAAAATGAACGTAGCAGTCTTAGTGGTGATTTTCGTGAAAATCGTCCGCCAACTGCTGTTGTTCCAGAACGTAGCAGTCTTAAGCCCAGTTGCACCAACATTTGGTTTTAAGTGAGACTTAAATATATTTCTGTCTTTATTTATTTAGTAAGAAAGATAAAGATAGACTTACTCTCTAAAAGTGAATCAGTGAAACTCACTGTCAATCAGTGCATAATCGCTGATTCACTTTTAAAGAATATGTTTAAGTCTCACTTAAAATCAAAATAATATTGGTTCAACTGGGCTTTAGTGGTGATTTTTGTGAAGATCGTCCACCAACTACTGCTGTGCCAGAAAACATCGATGCTGTTTGCGAAATGATAAAGATGGATCGATATGTGACATACCGTGAGACTGAGCCATCCCTAAACATCGACATAAAATAAATACATACAATATTGCACAAACATTTGAATGTAAAGAAGTTTCGTGTTTGTTGGATTCCTCACAATTTGACTAATGCTCAAAAACAGAACCGTAAAATGATGCAAGGAAATGTGAAAAAAAAATTCAGTGCAGGACCATCAAATTTGATGTACAATATTGTCACAGGTGACGAAACTTGGATTTATTCATATAAGCCTGAAACTAAACGCCAATCGCCAGGCTGTTTAGCCCTTTCAAAGTGAACTGAAATTAACAAAAGTTGTTTGTTTTCGAAGTGTTTCGAAAAAAATGATCGTTTTATTCTTCGATTTTACTGGTCATGTTGCTATTGTGGCTTTAGAAGATCGAAAAACAGTTAGTGCTGTTTAGTACACGACAGTTTACCAGAAGTCATCGGTGAAATTAGGAAAAACAACGCCAGAAGACGAATCATCCTGCATTACTACTGTAATCAAAAAGTATCCGAACTTTATTTTTAAAAATCAAAATTACAATTCAATCATCAAAATTCTTACAATTTCCTTCAAAGTCCCCATTGCTTGCAACGCACATATGCCAGCGTTTGATTCAGTCCTGGAAACATCGCTCATACGCGGCAGACGATATTACCTTCAATTTACGTAGCAATTTTTCTTTGATGTCCTCAATCGAAACGCTGTCCGCGAAGTAGTTTTTTCAGTAGGGGGAACAGGAAAAAGCAGGGTGCCATTTCTGGTGAATACGGTGCTTGCGGAGCGACATTCGTTGAGTTTTTTGTCAGAAATTCACGCATAAGTGTCGAGGTATGCAATGGTACATTCAGGTTTTTCGGAATCAAGCGTGGTGCGACCCGTTTCATGTCCAGTACATTGGACGAAATGTGCTGGCACGATCCAAATAATATTCCAACTTCATCTGCTATCTCTCGTACAATCAATCGACGATTTTGGACCAATTCTTTCACTTTCTCAATGTGAGCGTCATCCGTTGACGTTGATGGTCTTCCAGAACGTGGCTCGTCTTCAACGGATTCTCGTCCTTCTTGAACTTCTTAAAGCACTTAAACGTACTTGTTTCCGATAAACAATTATCGCCATAAGCTTTTTGCAACATTTTGAATTTGTGAACGAAATTTCGTTCGCTACACAAAATTACAAACAAATTCTTTGCTCCATATTTTTGGATGTCGTAAAAATCGCCGTGCACAACAATCTTCACTGACATAAACAACTGCCACTTTCAACTCGAATGTATAAATTATTACAGATCTATCGAACATTCTGCGAGACGAATTCTGAACAAAATACTTCAGTCGCAGTTTGTAATGATATTTGTTGCAATTTTCTAGTTTAATTCTTAATTTCTAATTTATTTTTTCAAGCAATATTACACATCTTTATAACGAAGTTTTAAATCAAGGTGAGAATAACTGACATAAAATATGAAATCAATCATATATAAAAGTATCGTTTAAAGACCGATTAAAGCCTGTGCATGGATTTTGTAGAGTTATAACAGATCAAATAAAATATTATTTCTAATATAATAAAAAAAATTACAAAAATTCATATATTCAAGTCCTTCCCCGACCTTTTACCAATGATAAAACAGATATAATTACATAACATATATAATTACATAAAAAATTTCAAACTCAAGTCCAATAATATATCTGTCAAAGATATTAAGCAATCAAGCGAAAAAATAACTCAGCAACTTGAATAGAGATTGCATACAACACAACAAAAGAGAAAAAATAAATAAACAGTTAGAAACGAAAAATATGCGTAAAAAAGGGGGAAAGGAATGTCTGGATTTTTATATATTTTTTTAAATTGTTATAATTGATATTTAATAAAAATTTAATAAAAATTCTAGCGTAAAAACTTATTAAAAAACTATATAAGAACCTAATAAAAATTCTATATAAAAAACAATTCATCAAAGATAGCTATTCATCAATTCATCAAACCTATTATCAAAGACAAAAAGGAAGTCGATTAAAATTGCCAAATAATTGAATTGTTGTTTTCCTTCCCTAACAGAAAAGTATTATTGGCAATGACAAATTGATCAGTGGTAAATCATTGGTGCTTAATAATTTTATTACTCGTACAAATAATAAAAAGTTACATTATTGACAAGGAGATGACGCAACCTGTTTCATCGATTTCAACACGAGTCATAGCACACTCGATAGCTATAATGCCGTGTATAAACGCCCTAACATAATATGCGTGAATGCGTCTTTGTTTACGAGTAATTTGCAGTTAAAGTTTGGCTCGCGGAGCCGTGCCCCATATAGGGCGCAAGTTACGACACTCTTTCACGAAGCCGGCGTGGCTGAGCAGACAGAGGCTTCCGCGCTGCGAACACTTTTGCGCCGACGACGGCGTTCGAGTCCCGCCGACGACTGGTTCGTTTTTTTTTCGTATGTAAAGACATGTAATAAATATTTTTATATTATTCTTATGTATAATTCCTTTTTTTGTTTCTACGCTATTAATCAAGGCTAATTAGGAGACTCAGGTCTTTCAAATATGAACCCAACTTTTTTATTAATTACAAAAAAATGTTTTTTTGCGTGTAAATCTATTTCGCATAAATATTTCGTATGGTATGGGAAAGAAATGGCCAGACAGTGATTATTTTGTGTGAGAGAAACCCGAGAGCCGTCAGAACCGTTACAAGTGGAAAGAAACCCTCTTCCCTTTCCCCTTCTCGCAGAGGGATTCTCATGTTGTGCTCGCTTCATTCTCTGGGCAGTCTTCGTAACGTGAACAGTGAAAAACTCGTGCTAAAAATGGAAACTACGTTTGTAGATGAAGCAACGATCAGCTATGTGCAAAATCTAGCAAAATGTGATATTACGAAAGAAGAGTTGACGGACGCAATAGAATATCTTCGAGGTAAATATATTGAATGTGTGAGCAATGGAAAGATATATTTGTACGTATTGTTATTGGCCTTGTATACAATATCAATTATATTGAATTCATATTTGCAGATGTCCTGATACAATTTCCGTCCAGTCTAGTTAACAGTCGCGAGGTATTTTACAACGTCAATCAAATATGTTTTCCACCAACTATACATAGTCAAAAGTGAATTTGTGCAAAAAATTATGCGTTCATTATGTGTAGTTGGTGCAAAAAACTATTATGTTTTACATGCTTTTATACGGCATTCCATTCACAGAGTTGCGCCAGCATGACCACATTTTATAATACGTAACTTTCATTTGTGTGCCTTATATTTGTCTTATGTGTGTGTGTGTATGTGTTTTGATACGGACAAAAACATTTTATTGTAATTAAT